AGCTTTCTGAACACATAGGGCTTGAACTGGAAGATTTTTGACTTTGGAAAATATAAACTATTTCTAAGATTTTCTCCACAAAGAAGAAAGATTGATATCTTAGTGTGCCTCATACTTTTAAAAACATTTGAACACATAAGCAGAAGATCATTACATTAATATTATTATGACCATATACTGAGTGTAACTAGGATACCAAAGGTTTTCTATTTCCTTATTTTACAAAATACATACCTGTAAATTAGCCTCTTCAATTAAGTTCATCCTAATGTAATTTGTTAATTATACAACCAAGAGTCAAATTATTGCAACTATGAGCGAGGGAACCATTGCATATACAGACAGCTCTCCATCTCAACAGCACTATCTGTTTCAAGTGAATACTGTAGTATATGAATTTGACCAAAGATGTATCATTTGAATGGTTCCCATTATCATCCAAGTTATTGAAGATAAAAATTGGTCTCTGTACTGAACTAAATAGGCATAATATGGAAGGAAACATCTACTGTATAAACTAGTTACAGTAGGTGGTTTTCTTCTGCATCAGTTGCAGGATGACATAGCTTTCACAAACAATTTTGAATATTGTACTAAGCTTTTTGGTACTGATATATGTGTAGGAATGTGGAAAAAGCAGGGAACTTGTCACTAAACAAAATGTATTGCTAATGTAGAAAAGGAGTCTCTTTTGAAAAATGAATGGGAAAACGTGAGTATAAGCCTGAATGCAATTATGTCAATTTCTATTTTCAACCTCTTCCACGAAAGCAAATAGTTATTATTCATAGCTTTATATGCATGTATCAATCATATCAATACTTCCAATGTCAAAATAGTCTATTAAAGATAACCAATAATAATACATTTGAGTCAGCTCACTTCCTTTCATATGATTAGGCATTCTTATGATGCCAGAAAAAACATGAAACTGTGCTTCAATAAGTTATATGAATGACAGGAGGATAAACTCAAAACAAAAATGAAGTAGAAGTAGAACTTCTGATAGACTTGCAACATTTGGAAAGTAATATTAGAACATTTTTCTAAAAAGAAAAAGCAAGAAATAATGTCATTTTAGAGTAGCTGCATAAGATATATGTATACAGCATGCTGTTGTTTCTTTACTGCCATTCCCAGAAATGGGGTTCTTTAAATATTAATATAACTCTATAAATATTAGATGATGACTCTATAACAATTGGATGATGACACCATATAAAACATTAAACTATGGAATTTAATAATCTTATTCATCAAATTTAAATTTCACTTTGAATTGGTAAGATCAGCAGGAAGTTTCTTGTCTAGAAATATGAATGTATCAGCTTACCCAAATGGAAGTCACTTCACATTTGTTACGATGGTGACCTATATAACACGAAATTAGCAGATAAATTGTTAAATGGGGAACAAGCCAACTATTTTGAAAGTAATCCTTTGCAAACTTCATCCTTTGATAAAGAACGAGGTCCTCTGCAACTTTAGATATATTTCAAGAAGCTTTAATGTTTAAAACATTTCTATGCTACTGTGACAATGAGTTAGAAACAATTCTTGTTCTCAAAGGTAAAAATCACAGCACATCAATAACTTTTCTTTACTAATAGGGAAAAAGAAGCCTTCAGCCTCATTCAGCAGGTTTTAAATTTTCAGAAAAATGTAAAGTATAATCAATTTATTTACCTATTTGTGAAATTTCTATACCGCTCATCGAAGTGACTCTGGATGATTTACAACAGCAATTTAGGTAAGTGTTGTTTAAGACATTGATTCCCTGGTATAAATTATTTTCAGTTTTCCCATCACTAAAATGCAAATAGAATTTATTTTTAAGACACATTAATTTGTTATATATTGTTTAAGCTATTGTTTACTTTTTCTTATTTCTAACCTTGCAGCACTATAAATACCAATAGAATTTATTTTTGCATAACTATATCACATGTTCACTTCATTTTTTTAACTAGTAAAAAGGTGGCAAAATATAGGGTAGGCCTTGTTATCACTTATGGGATAGAGTTGGTTAAGCAACTGTATTCTGTGAATATATAAAATTGATCCTTATCAAGCTGAAAGGAAGCATTACTATATGTACTGTAAGGTTCAGTTTTAGTCCCTGTGCTGTTAAATATGTGTGTGTGTGTGTGTGTGTGTTTTCGTGAATTGCAAAATGGATTAAAAATATGATTACCCACTCTACTGATGACACAAAAAGAGGAGAGGGTATCAAACAAAACAATATCAATATTCAAGAGAATTTTAATAGGCTGATAAAAACCAAATATGAATTTCAAAAAGGAATAATGCAGCATCTTACATTTGGACAGGAAACATCTAAGGCATGAATAAAGGATAGGAAGACCTAATGAGTATTAGGAGATGCAAAAAGGATCTGAGTACTTTGGTGGATCACAAGCTGAACTTGAGCCAATGGTCTAATACAGCTGTAAAAGAAGAGAATGCAGTCTTAGGCTGCATAAAAGTATAATGTCATGACCCAAATAATTAATCATTCCTCTCTATTCTAGATAGTCAGACTATAACTAGATTATTTTGTTCAGTTCTGGGCACCACATCTTAGGAAGGATAGTGATAAACTGGAACATATTCAAAAGTGGAAAGAAATAAGATGAAAAGGAAGCTGAGAGGAAAAAATGATGAAGTTTGAGAAGCTGGGTACAGAAGAAAAGACTGTGAGGAGACGTGATATTCGGCTTCAGATATCTGAAGGGCAGTCAGTCTGCTTAATTGAAAAGAATTCACTTGCCCACCCAAGCAGGCTGTTCCATTATTGAATAGTGCTTATTGCTAGTTAGTAAATCCTTTGTGATGTATACTGCAACCTGCTTTCTTAACATTTAACCCTATATTTTCTTATTTTGTCTTCTAAAATTACTCTGAGCACTATAAATAATTTTGTCTTAGATTTTATTACCAACCATATATTATAGATCTCCAAGTTTTTGTAGAATATGTTGTCACATGATACTTTATTTTTCTTTCAATCTTCCTCACTATTCTTGCTTCATTATTTTTACAGACCTGGTAGCATTCCTCCTAATTTTTATAATTGTTATGCATAAACACATACTCATTCCCAAATCTGAACAAAGTTACCATCAAAAGATGCATTATTATTTAATGCTTGCTATTATTTCATTGTTTCTTCCTGCTAAGTCAAATACTATTGCTTTTGTGGTTTTTCAACACTTTATTTAAAATGTAGTCTTTGGAAAATTAAGTTTTGAAGACAATAGAGTTCAATATGCCTTATTTTTTACGATAACATTACTGAAGTTTCCAATTTGAAACAATATTCATTTTTGGGAACATGAACATATGAAGCCATCTGGTTTCCAGCTTTACACCTTTATCTGATTAGACTTTGATCTGAAAAGCCTTAGGAGCACAAAATGTTCAAAATTACTCTGTTAACTTGCATGAAAATATTTTGTCAAACCATAAGTATTCAACAGCTGTTACCGCTAAGTCATGAAGATCTTGAGAACATATTTGCAAAACATTTCTTTACATTTCAGATGAGGCTGGAAGCTCAGCCTCTTCCTGGATAATTAGTGCTGCTAGGCTGTTCATTTGCCTGAAGAAATGGGGGCATCATCTTATTATTCTTCAATCCTATTGTCTTAAGTGATTATCTCCCTGTTCCTAACAACTATTGGCAGAACCACAATATGTTTGCACTTAGGTTCAGCTTTCAGTGTTGTCTGGCTTATAAAACAATAAGTTTAACTGAATGAAATAATGTTGATTACCCTAATCTGTATGTACATGTATTTTTAAAACAACATGCAGATTTTCACTTCCTTTTAGACAATTACAGATGGTGCACCTTTCGGTATTACCACCCACTCATGTAAAGAAAGGGGCAACGTCAAATGGGAGAGAACAACCATTTTCAGCTTCTTTTCCTTTCTTCCCTGTTTGGGGTGATGGTGGTGGGGGAGAATGGAAGGAAGAATCTTCAACAGCAGCAGCAGCAGCAGCAGTGGAGAGAATTGTAAAGGAACCAGCCCAGGATGTTCAACCAAGTCTGAATTGCTGTGTAAATCAGGCAAGTTCTCCAATGCCAGCAAATGCAAACAAGATATCAGTGAGCCAACCCCTTTTGGACAGTAATGCTTCTAAGACTCTTACAGCCTTTCCTGCAGCCTTTCCATGCACCTCTTTTAAGCCAAAGGCAGAGTATCCCTCCGACAAGCTTAGTCTGAAAGGTCTGCTCACTTGCCCTACAAATGCATCCTCTTTCCTCCACAAACAGCTGCACACCCACCTCATCTGTCTTTCTTTCTTTCTTTCCTTCCCCATCTTCTGACCTTTAACTGCATTAAAATTGCACATCCCTCCCCCCACCTCCATATTACCGCCTTGGGCTATGCTGTTTGGGAAATCCTGGAAATCCTAGCCTCGGCATATCCGGAGGGCGCCTAGTTGGAAACGGCTGTTCCAGGCAAAACTAGAATTCGCGCCACCCCGCTTCTACTGCTGCTGTCTAGGAATGTGCAGGCATCGCCTTTTGTGGAAGAGCGCGCTCTACGCCTCGACCAGGGCTCCCCTGCCCACGCTCCCCTGCACTCTTCGAGGGGAGTGTGCCCCATCCTGCACTGCCCCAAATGGGGCAGTCTCCTTGCACCAGAGGCCTCTCTCTTTCTCTCTCTCCTTCCCTCCCCTCTGCACGGGGAACACGGGGATCGGTCAGCCGCACTGTTTTGTCTAGGCATCCGCTCTGCGTAAAAACACCTTCTGCCACAGCAGACCCAAGACTGGCCAGCGCCACGGAGTCCAACGACCATGGCACCCCGAGACAGCCTCCCGCCCTGCATCCCAGAACTTGCTCAGGCCCGGGGTTTTCCCCCCTCCCCAAAAGAGAAGGGGGCTTGCGGGGGAGGGTGTCTTCTTCCACCCGCGCCTACAGGGATCCCCCTCCCTTTTCCTTGTTCGCAGCGCCCCACAACCACCTTCCTCCCTCGCCTCCTTACCGTCCCAGCTCTGACTCCAAGTCGTAATAATCCGTGAGGGTGTCCCTATTGGAGCCGTCGATCCAAAAATCCGGTTTGGTGGAGCCGGCAGATACAGGGGTGGCGACACCTCCGACCCGGCCCGGGGTTGAGGCAGGGAGAGGGGCAGAGCCCGAGGCAAGAGTGCCAGTGGCGCTGAGGGTGGCGGAGGCAGAGGGAGGCGACGAAGACGTGGAGGAGGGCATGGTGACTTTGAGCATGCTGCGGTGGAGGTTCAAGCGGCGGTGTTGGGGTCCGCCGGGATTCGCCGGCTGCTCAGAGGCTGCGAGGAAACAAGAGGACAAAGCGGCTAGCGGCGGCTTCTCCGCTCCCACCCCCCGCCTCCGGCTCTCGAGCTGACGAGCGAAGCGGGAGGGGGAGGAAACTCTCGCGGGCTGCCTGAGGAAGCCGAGCTGACAGCCAAACTTCTAGCCCGGCGCAGCAGCAGAAGCAGCCGGCGAGCAAACCTCTCGGGCTGCAGGGGAGGGCGCGCTCTCGGTCGGATGCGCGCGCCCGGCCACGCGCTTCCTTGCCTCGTCCAAACGCGCCCTGCGAACACAGGCGGCTACTGTACAGGGTGGAATGAGATGGGGAGAGGTGGGGCGAGCCGAGGAGTCACCCCGTAAGGGAAGGCCCGGAAAAATCACCTCCAAAGCCAGGAAATCGTCCCTATCAAGGCCAGAGAGCAGAAAGACTCCAGAAAGCACCTGGCGAGGGCAAGCTCCTATCCGAGGCAGGAGGGAGTTTTGCTCCCGGACAACCGTGTGCCAAAGGGTTGGTCTTTGGGATACGAACTCAGTGGCAGGATTCAGAGGCTGCTTCTACCTTGGCAAAGCATCTGCCTTTCCTCCTTCCCTCCACCTTCCTCTCTCTCGGAGAGGGGGCAGTGCATGTAAGGCAGAGCACCAGGACAAGGAACCTCACTTGTGGTACCTCTCCTTTTGCCGAGTCCTAATGCATCCTGTTTTCCTTTCCCAGAGAAGAGGAGACAGGAATAAGACCAGCAGTTTGTTTCTAGGTTCTTCTAAACCAGGCTAATCCGACCTACATCATCCTTGAATTTTATGGTCCATTAGAACTATCCCGGTATCCTTCTTAGTTTTATTTTTCAACAATAAAAGCAAATCTGAGAACATCCTTGCTTTCTTTGATGGACTGAAGTTTTCAGGTAATACACTGCTAAACATTCTTTAAATAAGACATCTTGCGTGATTATGACAGGACATCCTGGAATTGTAGAACTGATTATTGAATCAGCAGGAGACAGAAAAATGCTTTAAGAAACAGTGCACTGGAGTTTGAGCACTGTTTAAACCGTGTTGAAGCTTAATCTTGTCCGCTATCAAATTTGATATCAAATATAAATTCAGTCTTAAGCAGGATTAGCAGATATCTGAACAGTCAAAGGAGAACATTAGCAATTAGATAGGTGGATAAATGGAAGGTGGAAAGACAGACTCAATAGCTGCTTATTTTTTTTGGCATCTGTGATAAAAATTACAGTAAAAAATAGCAAAAAAGCCCCCTACCTAGGCCTACATGTGTATTAAATTACTTTTTCCGGCATCAGAAAGACTGACTTTTCAGTCACAATATTTTTCCAACATATCTTTATTTTTGAAAACTAGAAATTAGCTATGAAATAGAATTGATTTCAACATGCTTTTCAGATTTTGCCATAGAAACTTATGATGAGTTTTGATCTACACACTACAGTGATTAGAAGGAATTGGACTAAAAGCAATTTCTGGAATCAAGATATAATTTAAATAATGTAAATTGAGACTGTCAAGTCTGTTGATGAAAACAAAGAAAGAAACAGAGAATTCAAAGTCAACTTTGGATGATTCCTGTTGTGAAAACAGTTAAAACACTCACCTCCCAAGATGCTCAAAAAGCCAGACAATGCTTGATTTTAAGGCTATGCCTTCTGATGGAGAACATGAGTACAAACAAGAGGACATGACCTCCTTTTGTCCGGCATCCAGTATCCCTAGCCTGAAGCTTCATAATTATTATGCCTATGCTAATGAAACTTATTTACAAACATTCACTGGCTGTATCCAATCTACATTCTAGGTAAAAAAGTCAACAGAATGACTTCTGGCTCCATAAGGATCATTTTGGATTGGATTGAGGATTATTTTGGCATAAGGCCATTCTATATTATAGTTTTCAAATACATTCAAATACTCCTGAGGTTGGATATAATCCCTCTCTTGGGCACATGCACACATTCAAAAGTAATTACCGTAATAGTAAATTGTGAAGTTAAAACAATAACAGAAACATTAATGCCTGTGCCAATTCAACATAAAGTTTTAAGACAAGCTGAACCAATTGAAAATTTACATTATCATATAGCTAATAGCTATATCAAATTAATTCATAACATTCATTAATACCTGCAGTAGGTAGGAAAGTAATCTCAATTCAAACTTTTGTGGATGAAATAAAACTTTTTGATGAGTGGACTTTGCAATGTATTGTTCAGTTAATACATTTTAAACCAGAGTATTTCCCAATGTATTTAAGAGAAACATCAGACCCTAACTTTTGTTGGAAGGGAGGAATATGGCTGAACTGTATCAGAATGTGGTAAAATCCTGGATTTCTGTAACTCAGACTTACTCTAAGTGAAGGCTAATCTTAGGGGTTATTATTTGCCATTAGTTCAGCACCAGGCACTCCTGCTGCTGAGCTCTGTTGAACCTGAGATTATGGATCAAACAATGGCATTACTAGGAATGAGTGCAACTGTGGCTTTCATTACAAATGGCAACAACGCTGCTTTGCCAAGAGACCAGAAATCCTGGGAACAAAATTGCTGGGAGATTTTACCGCCTGATCCATTATCCCACAGTTAATTAACACTGCTACTACAGCTCTTCATTCCACTGCCGGCAACACATTTGGGTTGAAAAAAATGGACAGAATATGTGAGGGTGGAAATATCTTCTGGGTAAATTGCATTCTTAATAGAATGGAAGGAAGAATAGGCAATGTGGTGTCATTATTGCTTCCTCCTGGTCTTTTTGCTCTCTGATTTTAATTCTTTTTAGATTTTAAAATTTAAAAAATTAAAGAGAGAAAGGGCATGTTTCCATTTCTTGATTATTCCAAGTTATGTTTTTAGGATCCTCAACCCACCCGGATGTAATCTTAAAAAGGGAGACACTTGGTTGCAGCCTTGTTTTGGAAGTGTGCCTAACTAGTTTGGGAAGAGGGAATACTAGCAAAAATCTGGGATAGGAAAGCAAAACTGCATCATTTGTGGCAGCAGCCACTCTGGAAATAGGCAAATCTTCTTCTGAAGGACTCATTTTGTCTAAGTAAACACAATATCCTGATAACATTTCCAGTATGCATATTGATCTAAAGTTGTGAGTCCTTGTAGTAGTATGAGACTGGGGCTCAAGACAGGCTGTATTGAGAAAATATGGGCCCAATCCAAATTTAATTTAAATAGGGTCATTTTGAGGAAACCTAGGAAAGGTCATGTATGGATAAATTAAAGGTGTTTGCTATATTTTGCTATATTTACAATAATGTTGTTCCTATTCCCTTCCCAACACTGAGGAGTTTGTTTCTCAGGAGGATTACCTCTTTATTCTTTCATGACTTTCCTTGTTGTCCCAGTTACTGCATCTTTCTGCTAGATGTTGAACCTTTTTGTCTTCCTGTTGCTAGGTGACATATTATTACCTTTCTTGTGACATGAAAGAGAAATATTAAATAACTAACTGCCAACTATCTAAATTAATTAAAACAACTCTTTTAATATAACTTTTTAAAAGTGTGTTCAAATGGGAAACAATTAGAAACAATTACATGTAAGTATTATACCGTGTTTCTCATATAATAAGGCCAGGTCTTATTTTTTTTTTGAGCCCTGAAAAAATGGCTAGGCCGTCTTTTCGGTGGTGACTTAATTCCCCCCCTTGCATCTTCGGGCAGGCGGGCAGCAATGGCTTGGATGTTGATCTCGGCGTTGGTGGGGCACTTCATATTGGGGTCAACGCAGGCAGCACCATATCCGGGTGTGCAACAAAAGTACTTCCTAACGGCAAGCCCCCCCACCATTCCCCCCCATTTCACATGTTTTAATATAGGCCTTAATTTGGGGGGAGGAGCTTAATTTCATTTCATGCCTATAAAACATGCTGGGACTTCCTATTGGGGGAGGCCATATTGTTGGAGAAACAGGGTACTTAACTGAATAGTTCTAAGTAAAAGTAAATATCTTGAGCACAGCTTGACTTCTGATGTTTTCTTGGACACATCCATTGTATGTTTTGGGGGGGCTATAATATAAAAGTGATACATCACTTCATTTTAAAAAAACTGAGATTTTCTTCAGGAACCCTTTCCAAGTACTAAGCAGACCCAAGTGTACTTAGTTTCCATTCAGTCAAGGTTAACCAGATATTGCCAAGTTAGAACTAATACCAATATTATATTTTGCTGTATTGTTTTTATTCTTTATTTTGTGCCTTCTGTTGGTTGAATTTATAATCTCTTGTTATGCTAAAACAAATTCTACTTCTGATTGACATTACTTTTAATCTATTTTCTAATTATTTTTCTGCTTCTTAAATCTGAAGCTGATCATGTTATCCAAATTGTAATCCAGAAGATAAACTTGGGCTGTGATTCAAAAAACTATTCTTGTTCACGAATAGGCAAAATTCACTTATAGTTGTCATACTACAACTTGCAAAAGTGATGAAGACGACTGTTGTTTTGGTTTAAAAGTTGTATTCTTTCCATTAGGGGAAACCCGAATAAACAAACTACAGAGACATCAATTACATGCAAATGCTTAATAGATTCAGGGGTTCAGTGAATGACATATCAGAAGTGTTATTCTGTTGGCGCACTCCATTTAGTAATAAATCCTGTTTGCTGCAGTGGTTCTGTTGTGTATTTATGTATTCCTCATATTGCAACAATGGGATAGAATAGGCTTAAGTGGGAATGTTCACACCTTTAAAATGATTTGAAATATTTGCTTCATATTACTTGTGAGCAATGACAAGAGCCCTGAGCCAGTTTAGTGAAAGGAACTGTGCTTACATAATGTCCAAAGCATTTCTTTCAAATCATTTTCAGAGATTGCACAGCTCTCCTATTTAGATGGGTTGATATTTCTTCAGATCTGAAACAGGGAAGCATGTTGGAAGAAGAATCTATATAGAAGGTACATCATTGTGAAAGAATTTCCTTAAAACTAGGAAAAGAAAATGTGAGGTTTTTTTGTTCTGAAATAATGTGAGAAATTTTCATGATTACAAAATGTTCAAATAAGAAACCATAAAAATCCACCTTATTCTGAATATGATCAGAAGCAATTAAAAAGATGCACAAAAACACTTCAATCACATCAAACACATTAAAAGAATTTGCTCTAAGAAAAATCCCAATGCAGAAAAAAATATTTTTCCTGTTCACCTCTTACTTAACCAACTCTAGAGCCACTCAAACTAATAAACAGAAATGAAAACAATCACTCTATTGTCCATCTCTCTATATTTTATGAGGCTTTTTCTTATTTATCATTGAAGAATGAGGTTAGAAAATTTAGTAAGGAAACCAGATTGGAAATCACTGCCTAATTGTGGTTTCCAAATCTTTTTTGTAAAACAAATCACAAATTATGGGTTGCCTTTTCAAAATAGAGAAGAGGGAATGGCTATATAGGTAGAAGCCAGGAAGCAAGCAAACCAGGAACTTGGACCATTTCCTCATAAGCAATTTATCACATCTTATAGTGTGTTCAAACCATGAAGACAAACAATTACTATAGCAGTACCTGAGGAATACTATAAGATAAATCAGTTACAAAGAAATGGCCTTGGTGTGATTGTTTATCCTGCTGTTTCCATGACAATGAAATAAGACAAAATGAGAGAAATAGGCAGGGCAAGCAATGTAACTTCTCATACAATTAAGAGATTGAAATTTTAAAACAGAAAAACATTTTGTAAAAGAAAAGGGATGTGGCAGGATAAGAAAAGCTACTCAACTTGTTGCCTTGAAGACATTTTACGAATGACTATTTTCTCCAGCCTGGACTTACCATACATGGAGTGTAAACAAACAAATGGCCATCAGGTGATAATAATTTTTAAAATCTCTTTACTGCCATCTAGTAATCAACCTAATATTTGCAACTATGCGAGACCTATCCCAACCTATCCTTCCTTTAAGGTGAGTTCTTGTAGTAAATATCCAGAGCATTTTTCTTCTGCTTAACTTTTTCTTATATGATCAACTTCTGAAATGCAACAAGCAGTAACAACTCCCAAGGATCAATTTCTCAGAGCAATGAGAATTTCTAGAAGTGTATCATTTTCCCAGTTTTGATTCTTTTGGAAGGATAGTGTTTTTATCTCAGCAGCTTTAAGATGTGTCAACTTCAATTCCCAGACAATTCTGGGAGATGGTCCACACATCTTAAATTTTCTGAGGTTGAGAAACTGATCTAGAAGATACTCTATAACAGGGGTTCCAAAGTTTTCCCATCACATCTCCCTGTAGTACATATCTTAATGTACACAATTCCCCTAAAAATCCAAATACAAAAATGAACATAAGTGAACAATGAAAATGGTACAATTAAATTTGTGGCAAAGTGGATCACTCATTCCTCTTACGGATAACAGATAATAGATAATCAGAGTTGGAGGGGACCTTATAGGTCATCTAGTCCAACCCCACACCCAAATGGCAGTCCAATCTCTTCTTGAAGGTCTCAAATGATGGCGCTCCCACAACTTCTGAGGGCAAGCTGTTCCATTGGTTGATTGTTCTGTCAGAAAGTTTCTCCTTATTTCCAGGTTAAATCTCTCCTTGTCCAGTTTCCATCTATTATTCCTTGTCCGGCCTTCGGGTGCTTTAGAAAATAGCTTGAATCCTTCCTCTCTGTGGCAGCTCCTCAAATATTGGAAGACTGCTATCATGTCTCCCCTGGTCCTTCTCTTCACCAGACTAGCCAAGCCCAGTTCCTGCAACTGTTCTTCATATGCCTTAGTCTTCAGTCCCCTAATCATCCTGGCTGCTCTTCTCTGCACTTTTTCTAGTCTCAACACCTTTTTTTATAATGTGGTGACCAAAACTGGGTGCAGGTGTGGTCTTACTAAGGCTTTATAGAGTGGTGTTAGTACCTCACTTGATCTTGATTGTATCCCTCTGTTAATGCAGCTTAGAATTGTATTAGCTTTTTTGGCTGCTGCTGCACACTGCTGGCTCATATTTAGCTGGTTGTCCACTAAGACTCCAAGATCCCTCTCACAGTTACTGCTATTGAGCCTGGTTTCACCCAGTCTATATGTGTACTTTTGGTTTTTCTTGCCTAAGTGTAGGGCTTTACTTTTCTCTACATTGAATTTCATTTTGTTACATACGGCCCAGTGTTCTAGTCTGTCAAGATCCATCTGGATCTTGAGCGTATCTTCTTGGGCGTTAGCTATTCCTGCCAGCTTAGTATCATCTGCAAATTTGGTAAGTGCCCCTCATCTAAGTCATTAATGAAGATATTGAAGAGTACTGGGCCTAAGACAGAACACCTTGTGGCACCCCACTGCTTACTTCCCTCCATGTAGATTTAGACCCATTAAGGACTACTCGGTGAGTACAGTTTGTCAGCCAGTTGCGAGTCCATCTTGTGGTGGTGCTATCTATTCCACTTTTTTCTAGCTTACTAAGAAGTAGGTTGTGGTCTACTTTGTCGAATGCCTTGCTGAAATCTAAATATATTATGTCCACAGTATTTTGCTGGTCTACTAATTTAGTCACTATGTTGAAGAATGAAATAAGATTGGTTTGGCATGATCTGTTCTTAACAAACCCGTGCTGACTGCTAGTTATTACATTATTTGTTTTTAGATGTTGGCAGATGTTTTTTTTTTATTCTTTCCCAGTATCTTCCCGGGTATTGATGTTAGGCTGATTGGTCTATAGTTTCCTGGGTCTGTTTTTTTTCTTTTTGAAAATGGGAACCACATCAGCTCTTTTCCAGTCCTCTGGTAGTTCCCTAGTGCTTCAGGATTTTTGAAAGATATGGTGCAGTGGTTCTGAGATGACCTCTGCCAGCTCCTTTAAAACTCTGGGATGTTAATTCATCAGGCCCTGGTGACTTGTGTTCATCAAGATCAGACAGGTGCTCTCTTACTATTTTTTTTGCTTATTCTTTTATTTCTGGTCTGTTTTTTAGAGTTATGTTTTTGGTGGGTTGAGCTAGTTTCTTTTTGTGTGAAGACTGATGCAAAGAATGGGTTAAGCAGTTCTGCTTTCTCTCTGTTGCCTGTTACTTCATTGCCATCTTCTCTCTTTAGTGGGCCAACTGTGCCTGCCCTCCTGAAGGCAGGCACACCTCACAATTTGGGAAACCCTGATTGATAGGCATTATCAATTTGCAGATTGAGAGTCAAGTCATCATTTTATTCTAACATTTATTATGTAGACCTATGTCTACATAGATGTATGTAGACATATTTGCATGTATTTCAATTGTGGATCCAGTCACTCTCAATCTTGGTTCATGTGAACACCCAATTATTATTTTTAGATTATCTAGCTCTTGGTATATTTAGCAAATTTCATAGTTTTCATTTCAACATAGAAATTTAATGTTACTATTCAAGTATTTACATTGTGATGCAATGTAGATATCTTTATGGATAACTGCTATCTCCCCCCTCCCCCCAAACTAACCTCTAAGCATATTTTTTCATGATTTGATTCCATCTCACAATTAAACATGATCAAACTATATAAGGTTACACATGGCTGACAATTTGATGATAAGCAAAACAGACTGTTCCTTTGAAGTTCCACCCTCTGCCTGTGATGTATCAGAAGTCATAGTGGGCTTTTCAAGCTGAATATCAAGAATCTCAGCTGCTTGAGATGTCATCCATCAACATAATTTGTCTTGAGATGTCATCCCTCAAAATAATTCTTCTAGGGAGGAGGGATTTAAAATGACTTCCTCTATCACAAAAGATAAGGCTTCCTTTGTCTTGTTTTAAGAGGCATAATTAAATCTAGACTTTCTTCTTTAAACAATGTGAAGATCAAAATGTATGTAACAAGTTTATGAAAAAGCAAAAATATAACTCCCCCAGTTCAACAAATTAAACAAAAAAAATAGCCACTGGAATCTCCATGCCATAAATCCATTTTTGGTAATTGGTTCCACTATCTAATTCTTACCATAGAAATGTTTAATATTTCTTAATATTCTGGAATCTGTTAGCTATCCTTCGATCTGTACTGTTATGAAAGTTCATGGTCTTATTTCCAAGTAGGATATATGTTTGTGACAAAATGACTAATTGGAAATACATTATAAACTTTAAAGCTAGTCAGACTCTAAGGCTAAAATCTTGGTAGAGTTGTCAAAAGCTGGCTCTCTTTCTCAAAGGTTAGAGCAGAATATTTGCCTTTAAATCTACCAGACTTTTATTGAAGAAATCCTTCTAATTCTTGTCTGTCCAGCAATTATGTCCCAATTTCAGAAAGAGCAAAAAGGAATTCTAAGAACGGAAAGGTGAGAAAAGTTAGTCACATGATCCAAAGTTCCCCACTCTCTGAACTTGTTTCCAAGAAGGTAGAAAACATATGCAGCACAACTAATTTCTCTTTTGTTGCTTCAGTAGCATAAAAGCATGAGTCTGATGATGAAAAAAAAAAAAAAAAGCAAATAAGATTCCCTCCCATTTCTACTTCAAAATGTGGGCTCAGCAAAAACAATGTTCTCCATCTTAGAGTTTCTCACTTTCAATTTCTAAGTTTTGTTTTTAAATTTCTGCAACGGGCATTTTTCTGCATTTAAAACGAAAAAAATACCATATATAAAATCTAGAACAGTAAGAAGACATATACTATACTACACCTGTAAGCAATTTGAGCTTGGGTAGCTGAGACTGTTGGGGGGAAGGCTGAACCTGGGAGACTCCTGATGGTGCTTTTTATGATATGTAGCTAGCATAGCTTGATAGGATACATAACTAATGTAAGCTCCTACAATTTACAGTATTGCAGTATATTTGTAGTTGTAAGACCACAGCATGTGATAGACAACTAAATTTTTGAATCTCGTATTTTTTAAAATTGGTTACTATGTCAGCAATATAATGACATAAACTGTTTTATGAGTTTCTTCAGTGCAATGACATGAATATGTTGCTGTGTTGATAAAACATGGGAAAAAAGACCTAAGATTGAAGAGTACACATAGGGTCAGAAGGGATTTTTAAAAATATAAAATTATATATTCATGTAATTCAAATATTTCCGGCAAAGGAATAAATTTAAAAGCATGACTGGTTTCCATCACAGATATGCTTGTAATTAAAGGATCTGAATTCTGAAGAGACAACACACCTTCTTGGTAATTGCCTCTGCCCTGTGAAACATCATCCTCTGAGATCCAGAAGACCCTACCTTCCTGGCCTTCTGTCAACGCTTTGAGGTCCAGCAGACTAGAACACTAAAGTTATGGATACTAGTATCATTATATAGTTATAGTAACAGAATCTTGTAAATCTGAATACTCCTCCTTTCACTCCTCTTATATTTGTGAGAATTAAGATGGAAAGTCTGAGACATTTTCTCAAATTCTATTTCTGCCCTAGCCTCAGATTTCTTTTATCTGACCACTGGCTCTTCATCTTGCTCCTGAAGGCTATTTCTGCAGCCAACAAAAAAAGTTTCTGAAAAGGTGTCAAGACCAATCTTTCCTCATAAATCTTGAGGGCTTATACAAGTCTGAAAGCCAGAAAAGTTCTACAAATTGTTTGGATATGTGGGGATGTGTTGTGTTTAGGATGCCAAAAAGTGAACATGAGTAATTTTATTTGCACTTATCCTATAAACACTTTATAGGTTTCACAAAAGTGTACAAATTCTGAATTACTCTAAACTCTTTAGCAAGGAGGCATTTAAAAAAAAAGGGGGGGGAATTGGGAAAAAGGAAGAAAAGTCTTAAAATTTGGTGACATTGTTCATCTGCAAAGAGAGTGGTTTAAAATCAATTTTAAGACAGATTATAGAGTAATACCTTAATAATGGTACAATTGTATTACTGTAGATCCACCTACCATTTTGAGACAAAGAAAATTGTCTCAAATTTCTGCTGCAATACAATTAGAATTTTGTGTGTGCATTGTGTTTGTGTATATGTGTAAATATGTGTGTTTGTGTATGTATGTTGGAATATGGTAAGAATTAGCCGGGGTGTGAATTTTACAGTACTAAAAAAAAATTCTGCTCATTTTTATCTATTTAATTTATCACAAAATCTATTTTGTGTAGAGTTGTAATTGCAGGAATGTTCCAATCTCGGATGGCAAACCTCAGATAAAGAATGTTTCCAAGCAAATACAACTCAGGCAAACAAAGTCACTAATCTAAAGGAGGATTAGAGAGAGGAAGTAAACATATGTTAGACTTTAACTAGAGATAATTAATTGTATGGATTACTGTGCTAAACAGTAACCAAAGTTAAGCAGTAACCAAAGTTAACCAATGATGGAGGATAACTAAAAATGCATATAAATGCCAGACTATACTCCAATAAAGATCATCATCATAACTCAGTTGTTCATGACCAAACAACTCGACTGCCTCGTCATTACAACAAGTGGCACATGAACAGGGACCCTCTTACTTCGTCCGCAAGGATTTGGTGCACTTTCAACCCTTTGTGGTTTCTTCAACCTTTTTGTTTCTGTAAGTATGGGGTCTTCGCTTTCTGAGGAACAAAGGAAGCATGTAGATGAATTAGGCTATTTGTTGATGAAAAATAATACCGAGGTACCACAGAGAAATCTCTTAAGGCTGGTCCAGGAGATTGCAGCTCAGTGCCTATGGTACCCAGAAAAGGGGTCTGATTGGGAACGTATTGGGAAAACATTGCATACTGAACCTCGAGCAAAAATAGAAGTTTTGCATGTGTGGCATTTATGTAGGCATGCAATTGAAAAATTTGGTCACAATGAACTTTCTCTTTTAACACCTCCATCTTCACGTTATACTAATGCTGTCATTTGTCCCCCTTCTTCATCTGAATATATGTCTTCAATTCCCTCAGCTCCTGCAGATACAGGGCAAAAGCCTCCTGACTCTATTGTTCAGTCTTCTTTTCAGAAAATGGTAGAGACTTGTAAAAGGGATGCCTCTATCTTAGGAACAGAACTTGCAGAATTATTGTCTGTTTGTCCAGTACAATATCATCCTGGTCAGGGGCCACAGCTTGAACTGCAAATAGCAGAATGGGAGGGTCTGCCTTATCAGATCTTAAGAGAATTAAAAAAGGCAGTTACAGACTATGGGATTAGTGGTAATTTTACAAGAGGACTTGTAGAAGGAATAAAAAATAGTTATACAATGATCCCTGAAGATTGGAAGCAAATATTTCGCATTATTTTAACATCCATGCAATATGTGGTTTGGGAGAGTGAATATATGAGACATGCTCAAGCTGCTGCTTTAGGAGGGGGAGGAGCATATACAGTTGAGCAGCTATTTGGTTCTGGACCGTTTGGTACAATTCCTACTCAAGTTGTTCTTCCTTCAGCTACGTTAACTATTGTTTCTGAATGTGCCTTTTGTGCTTTTCTTAAGGTACCCCAAGCTGGAGAACCTAGAGCAAATTTTTCAAACATTCGACAGAATGCCAATGAGCCTTATGCTGACTTTGTTGAACGTCTGTCCAAAGCAATTAGACAGCAGTTTGATCATCAGGAAGCTGCTGGTGAACTTCTTCACCAGTTAGCTATTGAAAATGCTAATGCAGATTTTAAAAGAGCTTTACAGCCGTTAAAGGCTACTGCTCATTACACTCTGGCAGATATGCTGCGAGTCTGCCAGGATATTGGATCACAAACTTATAAAATGCATATGTTAGCAGCTGCTATTCAGAAAGGACAGCAACCAATTGGTAACTGTTTTAAGTGTAAGAAGCCTGGTCACTTTCAGAAGGACTGTCGTTCTACACCTTCTATGCCTCAGAATCGTCCTTCTAAGAAGTGCCCTATTTGCAAAAAGGGATTTAATTGGGCCAATCAATGTTGGTTTCGGTCAGGAAACTTGCCAATGGGTGTGGCACCCACGCAGAATCCAAAGTGTGCCTTTCCCATCACTCTGACTCCACCAGCAGTCTCTCTCACTCCTCCCCAGCCACAGCCGGTAGCGCTGGGATTGATTTAATCACTCAAGAGGAAATTGAGTTTAAATTTCCCATGGAAGTTAAAATAGTTCCATCTCAATTTAAAGGTCCTCTTCCTTTGGGATTAGTTGGCTTAATTTTGCCTCGTTCTTCTGCACACAAAAAGGGTTATTTTGTTGTGCGTGGGGTAATAAGATTCAGATTACACTGGTATCCTCATGATTCAGATTTGGGTGAATCTTCCTCAAGTTCTTCCTTGTAATTCTTCTGTTGCTCAATTGCTTCTTCTTCCATATGAAATTCCATCTCCTGGTATAGGTAATCGTGGGGATGCAGGATTTGGATCAACTTCTTTATCTGTAGGCTTACTTCATCAGCTGAACTCCTCTCGTCCTTTGTTAACGCTCTTCCTTAATAAACAACCATTTCAAGGGTTACTGGATACTGGAGCCGATGTTACTGTCATCTCCTCTTTATAGTGGCCAGTACAGTGGCCAAAAACGAGTTTCTTCATTGTGGGGAATAGGAGGTTCTACAGCTGCTTGGCAGAGTATTCAAGAAATTAATGTTACAACATCTGCTGGTAAGTCCTTTTTCCTACAACTATACATTCTAGATATTCATACTAATATTTGGGGCCATGATATCCTTTCTCTTCTTAATGCCCATTTGATTCTTGATGATGGCTCTTCCTCTTAAATGGCTCTGTTCTACGCTGGTTTGGGTGGAACAGTGGCCATTATCAAAGGAAAAACTTGCTGCTTTACAATAATTGGTTCAAGAACAATTGGCTGCTGGTCATATAGAACCTTCTACTAGTCCTTGGAATACTCCTGTTTTTGTTTAAAAAAAAAGTAACATGGGAAACATAGAATGTTGCACAATTCCTCCATTCCAATTCTTCCTGAATTACAAGTACAGAAATCATATACATTAGTACAATGGCAAAAATTACTTGGCATTAATTGGGCACGTCCATTCTTCTACATTACAACTGGTGATATGTTGCCCTTATTTCAATCTTTGAAGGGAACACAATCACCAGGAGATCTAGTTGTATTAACTGATCCTCAAAGAACATGCCTTCAAGAAATATTGAATAAGTTTAAGCATCAATATGTGGACAGGATAACATCCTTAACAGGACTTTGCTTAGCTATTCTTCCCAGTACACCCTTACCCACGGGATGTCTTTATTCTAATGCGTCCCCGCAAGCGATCAACATTCATGAATGGATTAATTTGTCAGCTACTCCGCCTAGAAACATTTATCCTTATCAATCGGCATTAGAGGATTTGATTATTAAAGGTCATAAACGAGCCTTACATCTTACAGGACAGGATCTCATTAGCATAGCTTTCACTCGTACAAAAGTTGAACATGAGCATTTGATGATGATTTCAGAATCATATCAGATAGCCTTTTCTCAATATGTGGGAAACTTGTATTCTTTACCCAAGGATCCTAGAATAGTGGTTACTACTACTTTAAATCCAGCCTTTTCTTCCATTTTTGTGCAAAATCCTATTTCTAAAGCTCTTACAGTCTTTACTGATGGATCACCTGCAAGGGGTGTGGTTGTCTGGCAGATTCAACAACAATGGTATTCTAAATTTACTGCCATGCAGACTTCAGCTCAACATGCTGAGCTGGCTGCTGTGATTTTGGCTTTATGATTGTTCAATGACCAACCTATTAACTTGATCGTTGATACTCAATATGTGTATTTAGCTATGCAATCTCTTCCCTTTTCTTATTGTGCTCTCTTTGGATAAGAATTTGTTATCCTTGTTTTTATCATTAAAGAATAGTTTGGAAACTCGCTTGTATTCTTTGTATGTAAAACACATTTGAGGTCATACTCCCTTTACTAATGCCTTGACTGAAGGAAATCGGAAGGCAGATGAATCCTTAAAGGATGTTGCGTCTTTGTTTGCTGATCTTGTTGCTAGTCATTCTTATTTTCATCAAAATGCCAAATTGCTTGCAAAGCAATTTAAAATTTCATTATCTCAAGCCCAGGATATTGTGCTTGTCCAGCTTGTCAGCAACTGGCAGTTCCCTTTCCAGTGGGTGTCAACCCACGAGGAACCCAAGCTAATCAAATTTGGCAAATGGATGTAATTCAATTTTCAACCTTTAAGCCATACTGTTATCTTCATATGTCTATTGACACTCATTCACACTTCCTTTGGGTTACTGCTTCAAAACATAAATGTACTTCAGATGTGATTTCTCATTGCCTATCCTCTTTTGCTGTAATGGGTCGGCCTTCTCAGTTTAAAACTGACAATGGCCCCGCTTATATTAGTAAGGAATTTCAAACCTTTTGTCAGAAATGGAATATTACTTTAGTGCACAGAATTCCTTACAACTCTCAGGGTCAAGCTATAGTTGAACGAGCTCATCGTACTTTTAAGGCATTGCTTCAGAAACAATTACAAACTGAGTCTGGCCCTTACCATCTGCGAAAGATTCAAAATCTCATTGCTGTAGCATTATATACTTGGAATTATTTAACCTTTTTAGATTCTCTTGCAGACTCACCTGTTAATTTGCATTTTTGAACTACTGAATCTTTAGCAAGGCCTTTGGTAAAGTATCGCCAAGCTCCAGATCCAACCTGGAAAGGCCCTACACCGCTGATCACCTGGGGTCATGGTTACGCCACCGTGGAAGATACTTCTACTCGACAAGCAGTGTGGGTTCCAGCGCGCTGTGTTCATCTGTATCATGGCATGGCATCAGAGCCTTCACAACCTGATTCCGGATTTCAATCTTCATCTGAACACGGAAGTCCGTCTTCCAAGGTCGACGCGCCCGCAACCCATCACTTGGGGCCAGGTTAAATCTACTACATATCAAGCTCAACAACAACTGCAACAGGCCTCATTACCTCAGACTCCTGAAAATCTTGTTGCTGCTGTTTTTGCTATTATTACTGCTAACTCTGTTACCATTTTACTTTGTATTTTCTTGTTTATGGTTAATGGTGTTTCTGCTCAAGATGACACTTCTGTGGTTCGTCTTAACCCTAATTTGTGGGTTTGTCATGCCCAATACATGTTTATGACCCATGGCACAAATATTACTTTATACTATGAGCCCCCAATGGCATTTGGTCAAATTTCTTTTACCCCTAACTTGATCATTCCTTCTACATTTATTGTCTCACAACTACAATCTATTTCACACTCCTGGCTATTTTCTACACCCCCTATACAATTGAATTCTGTCCGCTGGCATTACTTGAAAGTTAGTCAATTTACAAGAGGTCTGTGTTTCTGTTGTCACGCTAAACACACTTGGCTTCATAATTGGTCTGATTATGATGCTGCTCAGCACATATTAAAAAAGCTAGGGAATTATATTGTTCTGACTACTATTGGTTGTCAGGTACCTTTAATTCTTCTTTGCATGGAATTAATATAGCTCCTGATATGTATTCTGACAATTTTCCTATTTTTAATGCCTCTGCTCAATCTAATACAGGATCGATATGCGCTGGTTGGCAGCTTAAGGATCCTAATATGTGGTTCTTTTTTGATAAATATGGTACTAATGTTCATCCTCAGAATTATCAATGTGCAACTATAGGTTATTTTACTCTATCTGTTCAAATAGGTATGCTCCCATCAACTGGACAGCGGCGTTCCTCTCTGGGGCCTACATGTAATGATGAAGTCATTATTGACACACAATTGTCTTCTGGTTCTACATTTGGCCGTGCATTGGCAGGGGCCGTTACAGGAGTCCTTAGGCTCTTATCCTGGCATAATTGCTCAAGAAAACAGACGATCTATTCTTGGTCTCACCTGCAGACTTGAAAAATCCATCAATGCTACTGCTGCTATTATCCGTGATTTGCAGCATGAAATAGAAGACTTAAATCAAGATGTCTTAGAGCAGCGTTTTGCCATAGACTATCTTTTAGCCCATCAGGGAGGGTTCTGTACGTTAGTTGGACGCCGTGGATGTGCTGTGCATTTTCATTCTTTGAATAAAACTATTGAGGATGAGCTTGCCAATTTACAATCATACATTCAAGATAATATCTATGCTCATTACTCACCTTTTGAGTGGCTAACCAATTGGCTCCCTGATTGGTCTTGGCTCAGACAGTTTTTCTTTTATGCTCTAATTATTATTATTGTACTAATTGCAATCTGTTGTTTTATTCAATGTATTCCAAATTTATTCGCATTGTTTCATCCTGCTTCCCCCTCGCTTAACCCTTTGCAATTTCGATACATTTATAAATCTTTGAATCCTCCATTTAAAATAAAAAACGAGGATATGTAGAGTTGTAATTGCAGGAATGTTCCAATCTCGGATGGCAAACCTCAGATAAAGAATGTTTCCAAGCAGATACAACTCAGGCAAACAAAGTCACTAATCTATGGATAAAGGAGGATTAGAGAGGGGAAGTAAACATATGTTAGACTTTAACTAGAGATAATTAATTGTACGGATTACTGTACTAAACAGTAACGAAAGTTAAGCAGTAACCAAAGTTAACCAATGATGGAGGATAACTAAAAATGTATATAAATGCAAGACTATACTCCAATAAAGATTATCATCATAATTCAGTTGTTCATGATCAAACAACTTGACTGCCTCATCATTACAACAATTTTGAGATTCAAGCATTCACATTTTCACTTCTTCCAATTTTTTTATCTGAATTTCAAAATGCTCCCACTCATTCATACCGCTAGGATAGTTATCTCCATAGTAGAGATGAACTCTTACAATTTGTTTCATTTTTGCATACTGAATATTTTCTATATTAAATTTGTTTTAAGAATTTTATTATACCTATAGTTATTTAAATAGAATGCAAATTATTAGTTTATGAAGATACAAGATTCATATTTCAATTTGAATAAAAAGTCAAGTTATACCAATAATATTTTAAAAACTGATGTACAACACCCCTTATTAGATATGCTTTGTACAAAAAATTAAGGATTCAAAATCTTCAATCTTACAGAACAAAAGGTACTTCATAAGAGAGCTGTCTTGATGTAATTTAAAATGCAAATGTTTTGGTTGAATAGAGTCTGCAAATGAATCCAGATTTCTTCAAGTTGGGTTGACAGCTTGGATACTTCTGCCAACAAAGCAGGCTCGGAACAAATGATTTTAAAATGCAACTAAAAAAAAGAAAAGAAACCATGTTCATTTAAATGGCATTGACAGGATAAAAGTAATTGAACTAGCTGTTTGAGAAAGCTATCACATCACTATGATTGTATTAGCTAATAAACTTTTCAACTGTTCTCAAGAGGATGCAAATCTTTCATAAATCATATTAAAATCTAAGCATGTCCCATGGATCAATAATGGAGCATTAATGTATATAACAAGGCATCTGGGAAGTAGCAGTACTGCAGATAATGTTAAATACTATTTAAAATTGCTCAATCCTTATTTATAACAATGAAAATGGTAACATAAAAGGGTTCTGTACTAAACAGAATAACTGGATTCCTTTCAGTATTAGAGGCATTATTCTGCAATGGTTCCATTCCGTCCGGAGTGGATGGTTCCATTTAGAATTTTTGGGAAAGGTCACTGTCAGACCATTGGGCATATGAGTATATGATGCTGATGCCTTAACCTGCTCCTTCACAGAATTTAACATGAACCTTTGGAAAGGCTTTCTGTTGATGTGAAATGAGGTATTATCAATATGGTAAATATATCCAGTTAGGCACTTCTAACCCAGAAGTTTTGGCCTTGTGTCTGAGGCTTGTGAGGCACTGGGTGAAGCCGAACAGATTCTGACAGAATCAGACAGAGAAAGAGTTGCCATCAGTATGGATACCATAGATATGCCATCTGTTGTTCTTGATGAAGTTGTACTTCTCATGAAGGAGTAAGTGTGCAATTTGGGCCAGGGGATTTGTGGCTTCTACTAAAGCAATACACCAAGGCTATTTCCAGAAGAACTGTGACCTTTCTGGATTCAGGAAATACTGAATAAAGTAGATCATGCTTTTGCCATCTTTTGGTTAGACTACTTCAATACATCTACTCAGGGCTGCATCTAAAGACAACTCTGAAACTACAGCAACACTGATTGTCACTAAATGGACAATTTGGAACTAAATCAGGCTGATCATTGTTCAAAGTCTATGACTTTTTCATTTACTTGTGATCATTTACTTGAGGTGAAATCTCTGAAACAGCTGCGACAGACAACTGTATTCCCCTCCTGAGAAATCAGGGGGTAGAGGTTTGGAAGATGCAAAAAGATTTTTTAAAAGAGTGACTCTCTCAGATTGGGATGGCCCAATCCTGCTAACATTTAAGACACATGTAAAAATGGTTTCATCTGCAAAATCTCTTGATGTAGAAATATCCATTTAGAGGGACACCACCAATTCCACCAACAAATTCCACCAGTGCCATCCACCGAGCTGATACATTGTTTTTATAACTGTAAACTGCCTATAGTCTTGTGAATAAGCAATGTACAAATTTATAACAAATAAAAATATATGCGGAAAACACTATTGGAAAAAAAAGAAAAGGCCAAATTGTTTTTAAGTTTTCAATTTGCTAATAACTTTAATTTAAATTGTATTTGCATTTTTAATTATTAGTTATCCTGAATGATCTATTACTGGGGTGCTTAAATCTGGCCTGTGGAGCTGGCCTGGAAATAGCAAAAGACTGGCCCATGGTGCCTCTGGCAGCCAAAACTGGGTGCTGGGGGTGGGTGGTACAGCTCCGTGCCCCATTTTGGCCGGCAGCGTGCTGAGAAGGCCATATAGGCTGAAAATGGGGCACTGGGGGCCGTGTGAGGCCCCCCCAAACCCTTTTTTGGTTGGCAAGGTGCTGGAGGCTGTTCAGGCCAAAAACGGGGCACAAGGGGACTGCAGGCGGCTTCCTTCCTGTCTCCCCCCACCGGCGAGAACGACAATGCTAATACGGCTCTTGAAGAAATCCAGTGTGACACCCTGATCTATTATAAGAACATTGTAAGAAATAAGTACTGTGCATATATAAATACAATCATTAATTTTTCTTCCTCTTCAAACGAACACTTTCCCAGTAGGTGAAAGCTGTATATTCAAATATGTATTTACCTTTAGAAACAAGGCAAGGTATGCCTGAGTTAGTTCAAAGTCACACTTTGTGTTCAGCATTGCTTCAATCATTCTTAGGAAACTCTGCATCACCTCAATAGCGCCACCACCATCTGGTGACAAGCCTCTCAATTCTGTTTCAATATTAGATGGTCCCATGTCCTTCAGAATGCTCAGTGGAGACTTATCTGTAAAAACATTAAACAAAGGTGAAAAGTATAGAAAATATTTTACATATTTTAAAAACTCTTGTCACATTTAATCTGTGATTTTGCTTCTCTCCCAGAACACTGACTTCATCTGGATTAATTTTTGCAAGAAAAAAATTAAAAATCCTATTCCAAGAGGCAAACCATGCCAATTCTCCTGGTTTTTTGGGAGCAGGGGAGTAGAGCATAATACAGAGAATACACCCACATACACAAAATTAACAATGAAAAAAATTGTATTTATTTCTCTAGACACTATTTGATAATCTGTCAATGGGCAAACACAACACCTAGATCTCTAGGGTTGAGCAGGACCTCTTGTTCCCCCTTAGTTACACATGCACATATTGTGATCTAGATAATTATCTGAAATACGTGATCTGTACAGATTT